TTAACTTCAGCTGGTAAAATAGCAATTTTTTTAGGTGTCGTTTTCTGCTAAATATCGAAGCAAGTGTAAATTAAATTACAATCCAATATGACGGCTTTTTTTATGAATATAAAAAAAAGTAATCATGTGATGAATGTGCCAAGAATTTGTTCCAAATGATCCATCAAAAGAATTACTGTTATTCTAAGTAAGGTTTTTGCCTTCATCGTATGAAAAGAATGTAGAAAAAATATAACTTTTCTATTAATGGTTATAGTTCCCTAAACTCATTTGATGATGTTATTTCATAGAAAATGTGGCCTTTCATATACTTACTGCGAAAGTAATTTCTTTGTGGCGTGGCCTTTGAAAAGGATGCCTGCGGCAAAAAATTATTGACTAATGAACGCACTAGCATTCGACGTCCCATCACATTGGAACCGTTATAGAGGACAAACATTTCGCAATGGGTTAGATTTGATTTTTTCATAAAAGAAGGAAAAATGGTGGTGACAGAACCATATTGGAAATTTATGCATTTGAACTGCACCTTTTAATTCGTAATTGTCATTAAAACGACACAAACAAAGTTTTTTCTAAGCATAGACAAATTTGAATATCCAGATTACTGTCTCGTAATTGAAAAGGTCAAGTATACATGGACGCTTACCTTTCACTTGAATTCTTCACTATGTTTAAAATATCAAGAATTATCATTAACCCACGTTTGTCACAACGTGTTCTAAAATTCTATTCCTTTAAAATAAAATAAACCCAAGGTCTCATCCATAGCCATAAGTAAAAATCCATTATCGAATAAACATTTTTCCTGCATTAGGTACATACTCATATATGCTAATAAAAGTGATTCATAGCAGAATAATTTATAAAACTTTCAAGTTCAATAGTCATTATGTCAATGCGGTTAACTTTCTATGTGGACAAAGAAACAAATTCCAAAAAAGAGAATTGTTACTTAAAACTAAGACTGTTGGGTTGGTTTGGTAGATCATGCATATGATCAAAGATTCTACTATGGGTTTCTCTTATGCTTTCAAGTTCAATCGTTTCAAAGAAAGGCGCAGTTATTTAGATATTTTAGGGAGCGGTTAAATGATTTCTTCATTAGCTTTCATTCTCACATTCCAAATGTAAATAATTTTTTAGTATAATCTTCTGGTTATATTAGTTAATTAACACGATCTCCTTCGTAGTCCTAGATTCGGTATGAGAATAGTGTAACTTGGTGCAGGTAACAAATCCTCGCTTAGCAATTCTCTTCGGTTAACAATGTCTTCGTAGCCCATTCGTACGATGGTACCTATCATCGATTATTAAATGGCAAAAAATAAGAAACGAATGAGTCACGATTGCAACATTGCAAAAGGTTTCTTCATTGTCATTGTTGACACGACCGTTTGGGAAGTGTAGTGGTGGGTTGTAAAAATTCTCATCCACACACTTGAATTTAATTTGCCATTCAAAATTTTAAGCGCACCAACACTGCTATCTTAAAATAAGCAGGAATCCTTGCAGATACCTTGAGGATTGAAGAATGTTATTAACTACAGTAGTGACTCCATATAGTACACTTAGGAGGGTGTTTGATTTGCATTACAATCGATCCCCTTTGTATGAATTTTGTTGGTAAGTTTTAATTAAGTGATTGATTAAACTATTAATGTTATTCATCATTACAAGAGATTTCCTTGGGGGATTCTATAGTTCAACGTGTCCCATTCTTGAGCAGTGAGGTCATATGCAATTTAGAATGTTTGTACTCGTGCATACCTAGTATTGATAGAATAGGTACCTATTGTACCTATGGAGGGGGATAATTCGTTGGCTCATTTTATGAGATATAAACATAGGTCCGCAAACGCTTCGCGATTTTTAAATTTTTTCTTTATACCTCCTGTAGTTCTTGGAATATGTATCTCAGATTTACAATATGTTACACCGAAGGGCTTACATCATTGGATTGGTCATGTCAATGGTAGTAAGAATCTACAGGGTGATGGTTTTTTCAGAGGCCATGTTGATGTTTCATTTTCTACCCCTGGACTTTTTTTTGTGTACACCGATGGTAGATTGTAAAAATTTTTCTTCTGGTTTATTTAGAAACTTTTGGGTCCCTTGTAATTTTTTCGTATTTGCGACCGTTATCAAGAAAAAATATTAAAATTAATTTTACTTAGGTAGCTCAATGAAAGTAACATTTTAAAAAGGTCCAGTAGGCCCTGGCTATATTTGGATAATCTTTTGTTTATATTTGTTTTGATAGTTCGGATTTGATATATCTTGTGTTTGCATGTGTTTATAAATTAGAGGTTTAACTTGTAAAGTGTACGGTGAAACTATAACACCCTGTAGATCGGCAACGAAACGTTCTAATTCTAATGTAAGCCAAAAAATTAGTCCCTTTAGTATGTACATCATATTAGGAGCACCCTTTATAATACTAGTTAAATTAATCTTACATTAAATTTAAAGTCCCAAATATTGCGTTTCTCAATTAATTTTATTTCTCTCATATTAAATTGTTTTTTAATGAATGATTCTCTGCACCCATGACGCATATAATAAGGGAACTACCGATCTTAGCTAGGCTTTAATTTCGTCTTCGACTCGGACCAGCACGCATAGTTCTTGTTAAAATATTACATGGCGAAGTGTTTTTCCGATTTTTTTCGGAAAAAGTAGATGTTTTTATGATATTGTATGCGAGAATGTAACCTAAATGATACTAAGTAAAAATTTAAGCAAGAATTGATACTAAATTACTTTAAATTACGCTAATATGATAGGTACAAATCTTAACAAGACTAAAGGCGACTAATTTACGTTTCTAGCATGACTAATAATTAGTCATGCTAGAAACGTAAACAATTATTGTTGTTGTTGTTCTTAAGGAATGGATATTTAACTTGTACAGAAAGACCCTGGAAGGGGGGGGGGGGAGACAGTCGACAAGATTTCGTACTGTTGGTGTGGTCAAAAATGAGCCTTCATATTTTTGGTTCTGTAAAACGCAGGAGATTACATCCCCTAATACCAGTTACACGTTCCCGTGGACTTTCGGTCTCGAGTACTGTAATTTATCGCTCGTACGTAAGGAGACCTAAAATTAAGGGCTCCACACCGCCCGAGAAACATAAAATGGCAAACAAAGTCAATAAAATCTGGCCCTAAACATGGAGAGTTCGATGTCGTTGCGGTCGGTACGGTCGGCGGGTTAATATATCAAGCTGGTGTGAGCAGTATAGGCACCTACCTAAATAAGTTACAGAAAACCATTGTCTACGTTCGACGAAACCTAAGACGGTTTCAGGTACTCAGGTGAGTTACTATCACGATAATTTAGAACACGTAACATCCGGTTATATTGTCTGTTAGGTTGCCTTTACTTAAATGCAAGCGTGTGGTGTGTCGCCTTATGGAGTTTAGTGGCAATTTGACCAAAGTAAAAAAGTTTGCAAATCATTTTTCTTTGCCAATTGAGGTTTCGACAAAAATTATCACAAAATCTTACAAAACCTCTCAAAACAAGGAAATAAAAGTACACGAGTTTCTAGTGGAAGGAAAGGAAAGGTTCATAAAAACAAAGCTGATTATGATACAATACGATCGAATCGTATGAATCCAAAATTTACCGACTCAGTAATTTGATAATCACGTAAGTAAATGCATTTTATAGTCCAGTAGCTCACAACACTTCTGTGTGCAAGTATGCGTATAGAGAAAATCCTTTTTGTGTAATCGGCTGCGAAATGGGCAGTTCGAGAGAAGTTTTGCCTCGGCTTACGCCTCGCCCAAAACTTGTTCTCTCAGTACACCAAACAATCTTTTCGCAGAATTAGTAATAAAATCGAAGTTGTATAACGTTTATATATATATATATATAGATATTTTATATATCCTGTGGATGGATATATTATAGCTAGGCCTGATGATGCCATTTTGCCGAAATGGATAGCCACAGAAAAATTTAAAAATAAACGTTATACAACTTCGATTTTATTACTTATTCTACTCAAAACGTTTATCGACAATGGAGATGTCCATCAATAATCTTTTCGCAGCCCGCGTATACAAATACTATTTCATTATTCAGTCGATAGGTGAAAAAAATTGTCAAGTAACTTTTTTTTATATAACGGCTAATTAAGCCTGCAGGTCCATTATTCCTTACCCCATGGGGTGCTGTGTATATATACACTGATAATTTAAGTATAAGATCTACAAAGTATCACAAAGCTTCTCAAGCTGGATAATGAAACGCACCATTTCAGAATTCGCTTACAATAAATAACACGTAAGCTATGCTTTGTAGTCCTGTTCTTTTAAAAAAGTCGTAAATTAGTGGAATTAATCCCTATACCTTTCAGAAGCATCTGTTGATGGTTGGAGATCCATACTTAAATTAAAGGCTACGCACTAGTTTTGCACAGACATGAATATTAATGTTGGCTGAATGAATTGAAACTACTTAACCCAGTTCCCACAGCGATCAAAACAAAATTGTTGTTTCCACTCAATATAAACATAATAAATACCATATGTTACTTCATAGATCATTTCTTCCTTAATTTTTCTTTCATTTCTATCAGACACTATTATTAATATTTTACAGTTATTACGCAACATACCTACTAAAATTAAGGTTATGACCAAGTAGTGCGTAAACATTACCAAAAAATGATCTAGATTAATATTACTATAGTGTTACAAGTGTCATTAGATGATTCAGCAATAGGTTCTGTACCGTAAAAGAAAATAAGGTTATGCGTGCCCATGATCGAGTTATTAAAAGTGCAAATGTTGAGATTAAAAGATGTGTACGAGATTATCCAACTGACTACATTAATTACTTATTTAACCTAAATATAACATAATATAACAAGTTAGAACATTAAAGATTGTACATACAGCCAGGAAATGTGTCAATATAACTTCCTCCGAAGAAATAGAAAGTAACGTAAGCTTTTTATTTTGTAACGTTATGTAAATTATGTACTTACCATTTGGACATGTGAATAAACTATTTGGATCCTGAAATTAAAAACAGCATGTTAACAAGTGAATAGACCAGATTTGTGGTAATGAAGTGCGGTGTCCTACATTAATGCATCATGCATTTGTACAAATTTTGAGTTCTGAGTTGTTGGTTACATACTTTTTCAATTACCAGAAATTAAACTGTTCGTCTTTTGTAAGATCGCACACTACATTACCATAAACGACAATTGTAATTTGTAAGGTTAGGAAAAATGAAATGGTGCTCATATTCTCGCTTAGTTGGTAAATAAAGCTTTTGGAAAAGTAGTTTTTACCGAGTAACAAATACTTCAATATCTTCAAAAATGATTAAGTAAACAGCGAATATTTTTTGGTACCTTCATCTTATGCGACGCATGGTCTTATTATTTCATGCTTACTGCATACGCAATTAAAGAATTTAATTATATCGGCCAAAGTGCTGCCTACTTGCCTATAACTACAACCTATTTGTCAAGTAGAGGAAATAATAATCACATTAGCTAATTACTTTGTAATTAAATGTTTTATGAAATTTGAAGTCTCCATCATCACGTAGAAATAGGTTACATGCAAAGAGAGCTATTTACATTTTAATAACGTTCTACTTTTGAACGTGGTTAAGCGAGTATTTATGCACTGTAAACCACTGACCCGTGTATTATTGTGACCTGACCATATAGTGCAATAAAACAATTTCTCTACATTAGTAATTTTTTACAGCTATAAATAACCATTAGTAACACTTCATTTGGAATCAAATCATGGTTCATTAGTCACCTAACAGTTTGTGTTTGGGTATAAAGTCGCTGGTTTATTCAATCTTCAAATGGTTATGAACAAAATTCCTCTCAATCCAGTTGATAAGAATTTATTCGAAAAAAATATTGATACCATTTCGTTGTTTTCTAGTAGTTCAGTAAATTTTGGCGGCTTTTCCCGGACAAACCTCAATTTTTTTACCAATGAGGGGGAAACAAACGACGATTTTAAGAAAACTTAACACCATTCAATTGCAAATAGTGTATTCAACGAAATGCCAGGGAAGATTTAATTTTTTTCACAAGGAAGCCAAACTACGGTTTAATGAAAACTTACAGAAACTTACACAACTTTATGGAAAATCACCTCTGAACTAACAATTCAAGCAAATGTTACGTGAAGCACGCCCGGGAAATTTTTGATTTTGAGATAACATCAGTGACAAATAGAAACTAACGTTAATCTTGTCAAAACTAAACTAAACCAACTAAAAACAAACAGGTACATTGTAAAATAACACAATTGGCTCAACTTTCAGATCATCTTCACGGACCTAAAATAGGTATAGTGGATCAAATACGCCTAGAATATTTTGACGAATCCATTGCATTGCATTTCATTGTTGAATGGGAACTAAATAACTGAAATCTCAATATATACCAACATTTTCTTAGTTGAGACTGCTGCGGGACGAAATCGTTTGGTACTGTGCAAAACTCGACGAAACTTTCGCAAAGGCTCGTCTCGTTAGCCTCTTGGGAATCATCAAACCAAACTAAAAATGTTGAAAGCTACGAATAAGGTTTGTTGTAGGTAAGATGGTAGATGTTATGTAGATTGTAGATTATCGGAATAAGAGGCCAGTGCGGATTTAAAAATTTGTAAATTTTTGGCGAATTTTTTTGTAAATGTGACTGTTTGAAAATGCAAAAGAAGCGCTGGAATATTGGCACTGATTATATCCGCGCGTTTTTAACGCATTTTTGGAAAAAAATACGCTATTATATTCGTTATGGCTGACTGCCTGGCTGAGATCTCAGCAATTACAATTGCTAGAGATTTTAAATTTTCACTAAAAGCTTTCTGTTATTGCGTAGTGCAGTGTAGTGCAGGCTCTAGTCTATTTTGAGTTAGATTACTCGTGAGATCGATAATTTTAAACTTTGCTAATGAAATACTGATCTGCATTACCAAAAATGCGCTTTCATCATGCATATACTGATTTACAACTTGTTTCTCACTTTGATGGAAGTGCTCATTGATGCCAATGTTTGCATTTTGTTTTTTCGCTTTACAGAAACTTCACCAAATGAGTTGCCGTGATTTTTTAAATTTCTATTTCTATAGTCATGTAGCAGCTAATCTCAGGGCTACTACCGATGGATAGCAGTTTGTTTGTCAGTGGGCGTGGAGGGTGGAAAATAAAGTGATGCTCCAGTTTCTCCACATCATCGGTGTAGTGTTTCTGCACTGCCATCATACCAACTGATGGTACACGAATGTCTCCAGGCGCTGTTTTAAAGTAAACACTTTTTTTAAAAACTAAACTGAGCAAATTTGCCATAAATACATTTTTCGAATTTTTAAGATTTGCGAATACAGTATATCAGCTACCTGATTCTGTATACTTCAGATTTAAGGGGGGAATCCAGAAGCCAGAGGTTTAGAATTTGACTTCTTAAATCCGACCGTCAAATTCCTGAAATCATATTTATCTCTCCGTAAAACAAGAGTGAAATTCAATGGTGTGAATTCAGCCGAATTTTATCCCTCATCAGGCGTTCCCCAGGGAACAGTTCTTGGTCCTTTTCTGTTTCTCTTATACATAAATGATTTACCCCGAGTGATAAAAAACTCGGAAGCACTACTATTTGCGGACAACCTAAAACTTTTTAATAAAGTGCAATCCGCAAGTGACTGTTTAAATATTCAAGAGGGCATATTAACTCAGTAATTAAGTGGTGTATCAAAAATAAACCGAAACTAAATATCGATAAGTGTAAAGTCCTAACTTTTACTAGATCGAAAAATCCCTTACTTTTTGACTAGAAGATGAATGGAAAGGTCTTACTAAGAGTCACCTCCGTTAAGGACCTGGGCGTGTTTTTCAATACCAACTTACACATTGAATACCTAACAAATGATTTTTACAAACTTCTTGGTTTCGTTATCAGAAATACACTCAATTTCACGAACATACAGACCATGCTAACCTTATATAATGCGTTTATTATAGATCCAAGCTTGAGTATGCTGCGTGAATCTGGTTTCCTCCGGAAAACTGACGCAAGGTGTCTTGCTGCTCTACCGCAATGCATCCAGTGCACAAGTTCAGACTTTCAAAAGCTACTGTAGCTTCGAAGAAAATGAACATCCGCTTCATAGTCCGGATCTAGCATCCAGTGATAATTTTTTGGTCCCAAATCTCAAAAGAAACAAAATTTTGGGACAATGACGCAGTTATAGCAGCTGATGAGGGCCATTATGAGGAACTGGATTAAACATGTTATTCAAACAGCGTTATACCTGTATTCAAAAGCAGGGGAACTACATTAAAAAATTAAATGTTGTTGGTATGTCTTTGGTTTTCATGCCTAGTCCAGTAATGTAACTCGATGTAATTCGAAAAGAGGTTGTGAAGGTATTTTAGAAGGGCGGTGCGGCGGGTCGCGACTTTTCTACCTTAGATTTCGAGATCGCAATATCCAACCTAATTATAATTTTTTGAGACGTTATTACGGAGCGAGAGTGTTTGAAAAAAATTAGATTTATTTAAATTGCTCACAAAAATTGAGGACTTTCGTCCATGTCATTGTTAAAAAGGAAACTTGAGGTTGACGGATCTGGAGCTGAATTGTTTTTGATTGATGGACCTGGTGATGCCAAAAACTGTTTTATGAACTCGCTCTAAAGTTAATAAAATTCGTTTTCTTCTCAATATTATTTATTAATTATTATTAAGCCACTCATAAAACACAATGTGAATGAGAACACACAAAAACATCAATTAGATTGAGGATTTTAATCAAGCTTGTGGAACAGTGAACAGTATGCATCAGTTCAGCTAGTTTCAACATATTTGTATACCAAATGGTGTTTGCCACATTTGTAACAGTGATTCTCAAAAATTCCAGTTCCCGGAAAAGAAAAAATCAACGCTTGTAGCTCCTTAAAATGAAGGATCGTCATAGTCGCCTTTAACCAAATCTAATTTAATTAATCGCCGAAAAACTAGTATTTAATTAAACTAAAATGTAGCTAATCGATCTTCAACTTAAAGCGGTTTCCCACCTAATAATTTATATCCAATTACCATGGTTTTTGTTTACAGAGATTTTTCGATGCAAGCTGGTATACAGTTAGTAAGTACAATTATCTATGATATCAATTTTTTTTATAATTTAATATTCGATACAGTGGTTAACCACTTGTTACGTATAAGGTTTACTTATACATACTAAGCATTTCAGTTTTCAAGGTAAGTGTTAACGGCTATTCTATAATAAAAATATTCTTATGATTCACCATTTTAACATTCTCCGCGTTTATTGTAACGGGTTTTTCTCGTTTTTATTAATCTTTTATACTCGACTAATAGGTTTGTCAGCTTATTTACTTTTTCTTATGTTATAACTAGTAAAGGTTAACTGATGACCCAAAAACCTCTCTTTCACCATTAATACATAACAATGCTTTAGCTAAGACCTCTTCTTCTTGAGCAATTTACATAAAATACACGCGGCGCTGTGGTTATTTTTCATATTTTTATCTTAATCAACTCACATGATGTGACATTTTTGAACGATTAGTAGAATAATTTTTCTATGTTTCGCATAATTATAGAAAGTCGTTCTTCTGGGAACGATTTTGATGCTGGAATGAGTTTCATTCCCGCATTATTTTTGGTATAACTTATTTCATTCTTTTACGATGAGGAGTCATGGATTGGTATATTTGCTATACCGGATTGATCATACAAAACAGTGATGCAAGGTATCTACTAAAGGAGGTGTTTTCATTTCCAGATTTAGCATTACTTATTAAACGAATAAACGTAACTAAACAATGGTAATATTATGTAAATATTAATTATACATTACACACAAACACACTAAACATTTTTTTTTTGTATTTCTCGCTCTGTATTAAATACTGCACGAAGGTTTACGACAAGCTTGGTGGGCAAGGTCAGAAAACCAGCAAACTTTCAACAATCTAGTGGAACTTTTGACAACGGAAGACAAGCGACAAAG